AGTTCACAAGTATTAAAGTCATTTGGAATCATTTGGAATCATCATCACAGGTTGCCATCTCTCAAGGAATGTGGAAATGTAAATGCAGCATACATCATCCTCTTCCAGTCCAGGTGCTTCTTTATATTTTGTGATGATGTGAAATTACTATACAGACTGTTTTAAGGCTACTAAACCAGCTGGTCCTTTCTATCCAAGTCCAGAAGTGCACCTTTTAAAATCCTCTTCTTCCCCTACTCCATGACTACCTTAAGCTACCAGCAGCTTCCTTTGACTTCAGATTTCAGCTTTACTAAAAATCTTGCTTTTGACAGATTATCATGTCGTTGAGACGAAGACTCACTTGAAAGTTTCCAAGACTGAGGCAAAGTCTGTCCGTTCAGACGCACACAGTAAACGTGGACCTGATGGAAAAGCCCGAAACAGTCCTCGAAATGGTAAGGAGTCAAGGGCAGATCAGCTGGAGTAAGCTAAGTTTGCATAGTTATGTCAATTCACATAATTTGGAAGATCTCCTTCTTGTTTATGTTTCTGTTTATATTATCTGTTGCATGCTTCAAAACACTTCTGTGCCACGGCCTGCTTTGTAACACTTGTTTCTTTTTCTTGCAGGTCATTCTGAAGCGTTTAGGTTTTTCCACAAAGTGAAGTCCCAGAAGCTCTTATCTCTGAACCATGTACTTATATTTTACGCAGTTCTGTAAGTTAGCAATTAATACCAAGACTGTCAAAATTCTAGGATTTTCTTATGTTTACAGAAATTACTAAAGTCTAAGTCTCACTTGAAAAAAGGAAATTGTTGGGAATTGTGGCCTTAATACTTTCAGAAGTAGAAATGCCAGGGCAAGCTTATTTAACAGGCCTTTTACTTTTAAAAGCAAAGAGTCTTTAGGTTCAGGACATGTTAAAAGAGTTTAATTACTTGCAAGTTCATTTTACATGTCACTTAGCAAAGCCATACTCAAGGCTGAGATTTTCATAATGGTCTGAATGTCACTGGTGGGTATTCCTGAGGTGTTCCTAAGAATAATACCTTTGTTATTCAACATGTACAAGTAACAATTTAAATGGCTTTTAACATAAAATTTGTCAGATACCTCTAAAGTTTCCATTAACTGATGTACCTTATTTTTCTCTCTTACAGTGTTTGTGTATTAATATTTTCTACCTTCTACATGAGATACAAGATCAGTGTCCTGGAGGAACGCCTTATTTCTATCACATCCTTTGACTCACATGTTAAGGAGTAAGATACATTCTGTAAAATTGTAGGGGTTTAAAATCTTTTTCCAATATCTGTCATGCTCTCTATTTCCTTCAGAAACTACTGCAATACTGTAGTGCCCTTGTGGTACTTTAGTGTCCTGTAGTTCTTGTATCTGTACTAGCCTCATCTGACAGCTTTCTGTTTAAGACTTTTATTACAAATGTGATGTATTGTGGTGTACTACTGCCTTGAGAATATTTCAGATAGCTCTGAGTAACTTCAGTGTAAACTGCTGAAGTGAGCAGTTCCTTTCCAGAGCAATGATTCCGTGGAAAAGGTATAACTTCTGTCTTCAGTCTTAATGTCATTTCATTAGCCTAAGATGACAGAATGTACTTTATAATCTTTGGGCTGATACATCAGACTTGCTTGTATAATGTTTTCTAAAGCTTTAGTCTGCCTGTATCCTCTTTTGTAACTGCTATGTCTAAAATTAAAAAACAAACAAACAAAAAAAACAGACCCCACCCAACACACACCACAAAATCACACCAAGAAAAAACTAATCCAAACACACCAAAGGAAGGTTCTTTGTGTATTTGAAGAGGAAATATGGAAAGGGGCCATAGTTCCATTGACAGTTCCATTCTGTAGAGTGACCAGAGTCATGGATGTCATCCACTCCTGCATATTTTTTTATTTTTTATTTATTCTCCATGTTGCATGGATAGGAAGTACGCGAATGTCAAATGAATAGGGGGTGCAGGGACACACACCACAGCAGTATGCCACTGCAAATTGTGTCAGCTTCATGCTCCTCTCTTGGGACAGAAGGCAATTAACTGAATACTGCTGAAAATACTAATCAGTTTATTCAGCATTAAATTCTGTATTGACTCTTCTCCTCTTCCAATTTTTTTCTGAGCTGCTCTGAAAAACATGGCTTCAAAAGCCATTTGTAAATCTCAGAGCAAAACCTGCAGCCACATGCAGTGTGAGTGGGAACACTGACATCTGGAGAAGCACCACCTGAAAAACAGAGAGGGGAAATAAAATTTAAGCCAGAGCTTTGCCCAGGCTGGGTGGAACTGTCTGCAAAGTGTTTCGAACCTGTAGCAAGTTCTTGAATAAGGGTGCTTGTTAATTCAAAGTTCTTTGATGATGCGTCCATGACAAACAGGTCACTCTGACAACGCAGTTGTGGTCGTACTGAACAATGACTGTACTGTTTAGGATCCAACTGCTTTCAGCTGTCTTCTGTGGAAAGCAGTAGGACTTCTATGTGTGTCAGAAGACAGAGCTAGGTTCTTGATAAAAAAGGAATAGGAAGGAAATAGTTCTTTATCTTAAACAGGCTTGCATTTATATTTTATCAATAATGCAAGGAGAGGGGTAAACCTACCTCTCTCTAATAGCAGGCAATGTCAAAAGGCATTTTCTCGCTTTCGGCATGTTTTGATTAGCAGGATGCTGTGTCTCTTTTCTGAAGCACTTTTACACAAGAAAGTCCTGTTTTCTGTTGCTCTGATCCCAAACAGTACAGGATACAGGATGATCTAATGAGCACATCCACACTGTCATGGAGCTGACCTTTTTGATTTCCTCCAAGTCACAGGACGTGGAACTTATGCAGCTTTTCAACTTATTGCCAGTGGAAATAGCTGTAAAGTTTTCCATCCAAAGTTCTGGAGAATGAGACCACATAAAGAATGTAGTCAAGAGTGCAGAAATTACTTAGGCCTTTGTTTCTGTGAACAAGTACAGTTCACAATGTTGCCACTGTATTCTCATCTACATGTATGTCTCAGTTTTTTTGTTTTCTGCTTTTAGCGTCTGTCACACTTACTTCTTCATTCTCTTTGACAGACATCCAGTGCGCCAAGGTTTGGGATCTCATCTGCAAATTAATGCTGATGCCCTTTGTGATGAGCTAACTGCTAATCTTATAAAATTGGAAAAGGTAACTTCCTATGATATACTGCTAAAGCTGATACACTAATCAGGTTCTTGCTGAATTTCTATAGTCTATGATTTTGAAAAGTGCCAAATTACCCCCAGATTTGATACCAGAAGCTGGCATATTTTCCTAGACAAAGGACTAGTTTTTGGACTGTAAATTAGCCCAAGTATAAGTGTTCGTATGTGTAAATGTTTTCCCTTGAGCTGAGGCTTACAACCAGAAATACTAATAAACTGGACACTTCAAGGGTGATTATTGCATATAGTGATCTCAGGGTTTTTTTGTCCATCAAGGCTAAGGATTCTGAACTTAACTTTTACTACTATTTGATGAAATTTTCTGTCTGGAGCTTTTGTTGGAGTTTTGTTTTTTTGTTAAAGAAAAACAATGCTGGCTTTCATATGTCGTCAGCCTCTTCATATGAAGTGGCTGAAATCTGCCTGTTTCACTTTAGTGACACAAATGGTGCTGCACCAGTTGGGTAATTCCCTATGCGTGACCTTTACTTTTTGCTATTTTCTAATTGCAAAACTAAATGCAGTTGCTGACTTAAATTGGAAACCTGTGCAAAACAAGTGTGGATGTGCAGGCCTTATTTCCACTTCAGGTGTTGTGGTGGGCTAGCTTTGGCCAGCATTGAGACATCTACCCAGCCACTCTATCACTCCCCTTTCCTAGCAGAGCAGGAGGAGAAAACAGAACGAGAAAGCTCGTAGTTCAAGGTAGAGGCAGGGAGATTACTTACCAGTTACCGTCGCAGGCAAAACAGGCTTGATTTGGGGAAGATGAATTTAATATAGTACCAGTTAAAATAGATTTGGGTAGTGAGGAACAAGGACAAACAATAGAAGACCACCTTTCCTACTCCCTGTCCCAGGCTTACCTTCGCTGCTTCACTCCTGACTCTTCACCCCACTCCCTGCCCTCTCAGTGGGGCTGATGGGGGTTACAGTCAGTGCACTTTCTCTCTGCAGCTCCTTTCTTCCCTCGTTTTCTCCCTGCTGCATTATGGGCTCTCCCAAGAGCACTAATTCTTCAGGAAATAACTGCCTGCTCTGGCATGGGTTCTCTATGAGCTGCAGCATGGACATCTGCCCTGCTGTAGAGCATTTCCTCCTCTTCCTCCCCCTCCCCCTCCTCCTTCTCCTCCTCCTCCTTCTCAGACTTTGGTGTTCCTTCTGCTGTTTCTCACTCTCGTAGTCTCCTGCTCTCTCTGTTTGGTGTTTTTCCCCTTTCTTAAATACACTTTCCCAGAGGTTCCACCGCCATCTTGGCTGAGGGACTCAACCGTGCCCTGTGGTAGGTCTGTTGGAGGCTGCTGAAACGGCCGTGCCCAGCATGGAGCAGTCCCTGGCCTCCTCCCACAGCAGCTGCCCTTGCAGCTCCCTGCTCCACCTCTGCCCCCAAACCTTGACACCTGCACCCAGTACATGTACACTGGCCAAGCATGAAGAAAAGTATTAGTAAAATGAAAACAAAAGTTGCTTGAATTCCTATGTGCTTGAGTCACATGGGATATTTTTGCCTCTGTTTCTAAAACTGAGTGCATGCAAAGGTCTTTCAGCAACTTTTTTTTTCCCTAACCAAGTTTTTCAAATAGCATAAAGCTAGGATTGTATAATATCACTGTTTATCTGTGTGACACAGGTTTTATAAAGACTGGCAAAAAGACTTCTGCC